TATATATATATATATATATATATATATATATATATATATATATATATATATATATATATATATATATATATATATATATATATATATATATATATATATATATATATATATATATATATATATATATATATATATATATATGTATATATGTGTGTGTGTGTGTGTGTGTATGTGTATGTTAGGAGTGTAACAGTTAAAAAAAAATCACAATTCGGTTCGATAAAGACATACTGGTGTCACAGTTCGGTATGTTTTCGATACAGCCACAAAAGAAAAAAGCCAGAGGATTTCTCTGATTTTAATTTATCTGCCCTATTATTAGTTAACAATGATAACTGTGCTGTTCTCACGGGTGCTGTCTGATATTGCACAGATGATATTGACGTAACTTATTATTTGCATGCGTCATCTTAATAGCAGTAACGGCCTTTTTGTGAGCTGCAATATTAGTTTCATCTCAGTGAACACATGCTCTTTAGCGATGGTGAACGCGGTGTTGCACGACTGACAGCATCGTGATGATTAAATGAAAGATTAAATAACGTTAGGACATCTCGTGCTTAAAATGTGGAAGTCTTTTCCCCACTCTTGGAAAAATGTAAATGCTGGATTGACATTCATTACATGATCACTAATCAGATGTGTCATTATTTGTAACTGTAGGTGGTTTCTAAAACTAAATCTGTCAGTGTTGTTTTCATTCTCTCGTATCTAGACCTTTACATTTTCACAGCTGTAGCTTTCTGTCATCGGAACTGAGTGATTGACAGCTGATATTAACCAATCCAGTCCCGTTCTGTTCTAGCACAGTGGTGGGCCAATAAGAAGAGCTTGAAGGCGGGGCAAGCATTGCAGGCTTTGTTTACTGCAGCAAGTTGACATGTCAACTGTTTTAAACCATTCCTGAGCGCTGCGTTTGGCGTTTTTAGGTGCAAAGATGCTTAATGCATGAATGCCTCCTAATTCCGTGCACGTGGTGAACATTTTGCTGTGAAAATTGGTCGCACGGCATCAGTTTTATGCACTCCCAAATATATTTTGATGTCGCATAGATAAAATTTCGGGTGCATATGTGACCAAAACAGTCGCAATTTCGAGCCCTGTCTCATATCCACAAATGTACCGAAACCAAAGTGTTCCCAAACGCCAGACCCGCTGTTGGTTATAGGAGGATTACATTAACGTTATAGCTATTTTGCGAGCTAGTACAGCATTTGCCTGACTGGAGTAGTGTTTGGAGGTGGGCAGGTGAGGCAGCAAGTTGCCTGTCACGTCATTTGGGATGCCTTGTTGAGCATTGTTGCACTGAAAACATTATATTTTATATATATATATATATATATATATATATATATATATATATATATATATATACATACACGCATATATATATATATATATATATATATATATATATATATATATATATATATATATATAAATATATATATATAGCTATATATATATATAGATATATATATATATATACATATATATATGATATATAT